GGACGCATGCAATGTTTTTTTTTTCATTTAAATCAAATACTTTGAGTGCCATATCCACCAAAATTAAAAATAATCGTATTCAATCTAGAATTAACTTGGTTTAAGAGATCTTGATGGATTCTAGAAAATACCACAACTTTAGTACAAATGATTCTCAAAAACTCATGATTTCATGAAAAAAAAACATTTAAAAAAAAACATTTAAAAAAAAAAACAACCAATTTCTCATCATAATACCTCTGAAAGAATACGTATAAAAGTATATATATATATAAGAAAATTCGAGGTATTTTTCTGACTAATTATTATTGTTTATTATTTTTTCGTTACACAAATATTGATAGATGTATGATTAATTAAGGAGCTGTCCAACCAGAGGTCTTTCGAGCCCTTTAAAACTTCGCCGTTTTACAATAAGAGAAGTTACGGTAAAATTAATGATAGAGAAAGTTGTAGCTCATTAATCACATTTAAAATAGTGTATTACAAGTTCTGATAAAATCAGAATTAAAAGAGTAATAATCCAATTAATGCTGTGGATGGTACGGAGTGCAAATTGTTAAAAACATTGAAATAAGATAAAGATTAGCCTATTTCCAAAATATCAAGTAAATTGGAGCACAGTAAAAAAATCACAGAGCAATAATTTTGTTGATTGCAAGTTGAATAGAGCACATGTGAACATGATTTGACAAATTAATTCACTTCAAATATAAACTTAAGCAATAATGTATATTGATTTATTGGAGAAAAAAATGTAATTTAGATATTAAAATTACTAAAAGCCAGTTAAAATATGGTACGAAATTATAAAAATTATAGGCAACATTTTGAAGCATATATTTTGGGTAAAAAAATAAAAGGTGATATTGCACCTTTACCGCGAATGCTATATATTAATTCTTTCTGAATTTGTTGTCCTTTTTAAAAGATTTCAATTTTCAACACGTGTATCTTATGCTGTGACATAAATCACAAAGGCAGACGATCATTTTTATTGTGATAAATTTGGAAAATCGATGTTTTTAGTCGTGAATAAACAAAAAATCATTATTTATACATCCACATCTACAGGTATGACTAAAAATACTATATAACCCTTAAATGCAATAAAATAAATTGAGCTATTGGAAATAAATTTGTTCTATAAATCGCACTGTATAATTTTTAATATACAATTTTATTGAACATTTTTTAATATTTGTTAAATGAATAATTAAAGTGTTAACTGTGGGAATTGAGAACAATCATTATTTTTGAAATAGTTCTACATTCAACATCACTCATATATTGGTGTAAATAGTAATTCAAAAAACAGTAATTATTATTTTTAACTAAGCAGTAAATATTAGTATAAAAAATTAAAAATTGTAGACATGAGTACAGAACAACGTCTGTCGGGTCAGCTAGTATATATATATATATTAGAA